AAATTTCCCCACTAAATCTAGCGGAAAAATTTTCCCCGCTAGATTTAGCAGAAAAAATTCCCCGCTAAATCTAGCGAGAAAAAATGTTCCCCGCTAGATTTAGCGAAAAAATTTCCCCGCTAAATCTAGCGGAAAAAATTCCCCGCTAAATGTAGCGGAACTTTCCCCGCTAAATCTAGCGGAAAAGTTTCTCCGCTAAATCTAGCAAAAAACTAGCAGGAAAAATTCCCCGCTAAATCTAGCGGAAAAATTTCCCCGCTAAACCTAGCGGAAAATATTCCCTGCTAAATCTAGCGGAAAAATTTCCCCGCTAAATCTAGCGGAAAAATTTCCCCGCTAAATCTAGCGGAAAAACTTTCCCCGCTAGATTTAGCGGAAAAAATTCCCCGCTAAATCTATCGGAAAAATTTTCCCGCTAAATCTAGCGGAAAAATTTCTCCGTTAAATCTAGCGGAAAAATATCTCCGCTAAATCTAGCGAGAAAAATTCCCCGCTAAATCTAGTGGAAAATATTCCCCGCTAAATCTAGCGGAAAAGTTTCCCCGCTAAATCTAGCGGAAAAATTTCCTCGCTAAATCTAGCGGAAAAATTTCCCCGCTAGATTTAGCGAAAAAATTTCCCCGCTAAATCTAGCGGAAAAATTTTCCCCGCTAGATTTAGCGGAAAAAATTCACCTGCTACATCTAACGGAAAAATTTCCCCGCTAAATCTAGCGGGAAAAATTTCCCGCTAAATGTAGCGGAAAACTTCCCCGCTAAATCTAGCGGAAAAATTTCTCCGCTAAATCTACCGGAAAAATCTAGCGGGAAAAATTCCCCGCTTAATCTAGCGGAAAAATTTCCCCGCTAAATCTAGCGGAAAATATTCCCCGCTAAATCTAGCGGAAAAATTTCCCCGCTAAATCTAGCGGAAAAATTTCTTCCTAGATTTAGCGGAAAAAATTCTCCGCTAAATCTAGCGGGAAAAATGCCCCGCTAAATCTAGCGGAAAAATTAACCCTCTAAATCTAGCAAAAAAATTTCCCCGCTAAATCTAACGGAAAAAATTCCGCGCTAAGTCTCGCGGAAAACTTTCCCCGCTAGATTTAGCGGAAAAAATTTCTTGCTGTCTAGCGGAAAAATTTTCCCGTTAAACCTAGCGGAAAAATTTCCCCGCTAAATCTAGCGGAAAAAATTCCCCGCTAAATCTAGCGGAAAAATATTTCTGGGGGTCACGTGACCCCCCCCCCCCCGAGAACAGGTAACCCTCAGTACCCTTCCCTCCTCCTCCTCAAGAGCTGCGCTCCAATTCGGTGTTACAGGGAGTTGTAAACGGCTTTCATTTTTTTTATTTTCGGACTTTTCGCACTCTGTAAAGTATCTGCTAGATCGGTTTTATAGACACTGGTTTCCACACACCCAAGGGTCCTGTGCACGCTGACTACATTAGAAAGGCTTGGAGAAGTGACTGTGAAAATGTGACGTTGAAGGTTATGGCCTCACACCAGCAAATGTTTTTTTCCTAATGGCTTTGAAAAGATGAGGGTTGGCCAGCACTCCGTCCCTTCAATGAGGAGGTGCTAAGAGGCCTCTTTTTTACAATAAAATTGAAAGGTCATGTGGCCCAGCACAAGATACTGAGTCGTTTATCCTGAAGATCTCGAAGCTCATCGAGATCATGACCTCAGGTTGGAGAATGCAGAGGTACAAAACGCCATAGGCGCCGACTACGGGGGAGCTCGGGAGCCCCCCTCTCCCGAGCTCTTGGGAAAAGCAAGTACCATCGCCTCCGGAATTTTTGGGTGCACCTCATTAATCTTATCAGTGCGCTGGCGCCCAGTGTATAATTAAAAATTTATCTGTACTCCCTGGTGCCCACACATATCGATAGCTGGTGCTCAATATGTAAATAAGAATTTAACCACTCTGGTTACTGCCAGACCTGGTGAGTGGATACATTTTTCTAACTATTCGCACAGTCCTGTTCCAAGACCCTATGTAGTAACAGCAAATACGATAAAGGCTAGTGCTGTGAATTCCTTCGAAAGCCCGTGGTAGTTGCGAAAGGCAGTGGCACCTCTATAGCGTACCATGCAGCCTACGCAAGTAGACAGTATGATCCGTTTTGCAAGCCCCATTTTGTTTTCCCAAACGTTGAAACAATTCATTACGGTAGTGCGCTTCAACCACGGAATTTATTGATCACAACTACACTGACAGCGAAATTATAGGGTCACAAAAGCAGACATTTATTTACGTATCATGCCATCAGCATGCTTATCCCACGTTATCCAGGGGATTACAAACGTCTGGGACGTCTCTTTCAAGAGACTTCCCGAATGTTTCCCAAGGGGGGCGAGGTGAATTTTCCGCCTATTCAGAACGCAACAATGTTAGCGCGAACAAGCGATCGCCGGTTTTCCTAAGAGAAACCAAAGGATCTCAGCAAAATTCTAATTGCTGGGGGAAAAGCTCATTCGGGTCTATAATTTGGGTGATAAAATTTCGTCTTCGCTAATACGCTTTCGAAGTAAATGCGAAAAAGTGCCAATGTCATGTTCGCGCTAGCAGTGATGCGATGTGTACTGTGGCATCCTGCCCGAAGATGCACGTCTCGGGCGAAGCATTTGGCAACGAATTAGTGCGATAAATGATATGTGAAACAGCAGAAATAAAGTGTACCGTAAAGAATTAGCCAAACAATATGAAACAACAGAACCCGTGCGGAACGCCAAGCCAGCTAAGCACTACCGCTGCCTGCGCTCCACATTCCGGCAGCACGCCTACTACACGTTGCGCCCTCTCGCGGCCGCCGATCCGGTCATCGTTTAAATGCCCCCCCCCCCCCCCTCCGCCCGCGCTCGCTACACTGCCCAGTATTCTAGTCACCAAAGCCGTGCGAAGCGACCTGCCCGCGTCGCGTGTCCTGTCCCTCGCCCCCACGAACGTCACAAGACCACGTGGTTCGACGTGACGTGGCTATGACTGACTACACGAGACCAATGTTGCCTGACGCAACCGAAGGTTTGGTTTCGGTATCAGCTGATGTTTAAATTAAGATTACACAAATGATATTCCACGTTTCGCGGATCCGAGGACGTAGAGCTGTTTAGTAGTGCTTTGTGAAATGGAATCACATGTAAGCTTAAATTTTTCGGAATTGAGCGGAGTTGCCCTTTGATTCACACACTTGCGTTTGACTACAACCGACTGAGACAAGACCGGTTTTCAAGCCTCTTGTGACTGCTTACGACCGGCTGCACAGCACTGCAGAAAGTTGTAAACCCTCGCAAAAGGCTTAAAACAGGTTTCTTTGATCATAAGCAGTCACAAGCATGCAGACCAGCCGTCACTTCAGTACCACAAACCGCAGCAGCTGAAAGAAACAACAGAGTAAAAGTTGAAACTGCACACCTTTTTCTTTTTAATATTCAAGACTGAATAATGGTCACACATCAACTTTCGGCACGATTATATCTTCCAGGTAGATAACAAAAGTATAAAAAAAAAATCAAGACATTTTTACAAACATATTAGACCTCGCCTCAATAAGCATACATCGAGCAAGTTCAAGGGAGCTTGGAACAAGAGCTAGAAAATGACCTAGTGTACATTCAGGTGCAGAACACAAAGTAGCTGCTTTGAAATTCATTAAACGATTTCCCCTATTCATTAACCAGCCTCTAGATCACAGGTGGAGAAGAATCATTTCCTACGCACCAATACATTTCTGCGATGACTTTGGCTGCAGAGCATTGCCAAAGAGTCTGACTGTGTAGCCAACCAGGCTGGAATCAGTGTTGCCAGATTGGGCTATATATAGCCAAATTGGGCTACATTTTTTTCTAATTGGCGTCAAAATTTCGTGGTTGGCTATGTGGCTATTTTTGGGCTATTCCTAAGGGTGCGGCGAACTCTTGTCGAACCTCAGGTTCGACGTCGAACTTTGAGGTTCGACTAGTTAATTTTCGAACTTCTAATCAGTTTCGAGAAAAAAATTGTTTCTCTTTTGGCTAGTCGAGAGGAGAGAGAGGAAGGATAATGGCTTCAAACTTCTACAAACTTCGGGGTTTTCACAATGCGCAGAGAAGCACGTGCTAGCAGAGTTCAAGCGGTCTCCCCACAGCGCAAAGGAACAAGTCAATCAAACATATTGCACTATTACCACAGGCCCGGTAGCGCGTCTTTTACCCGGACTTAGACTGAACTCTCCAAGCGCAGCTTTGGTGCTCATAGTAAAAATGCTTAGGCATCGCCCACTTTGAGAAAAGAAGCACAATCAAAAATAGCGTGAACCAGAACGGGGGATGCTCATATTCTTGTTCTGAGTGTTGTGCTTCTGCATTCTGTTCTTTTAGTGTATGATCATATCTCCCGGGCTTCACAATACAGCTGTCCATGTATGTTTTCTACTTCTGAAAACCTACGAAGGATGGGTCATTGTTTCACAAACTTTCATCCTTCTGAAACTTTTTTTTTCATTTTTTTTTTTTATCAGGGGACTTAATGTACACAGAAACTGGCGCATCTGAGGGTTGAAAAATGGAATGTAACGTGTTGTTTTTACGCGTATGAAAAATTGTCAATAAAAGGCTTAAAAATGGTTGTTTTTAGTCTAGGCTATTTTGGGCTATATTTATTTTATGGCTTTGGCTATATTTGGGCTATACCTCCCAGCCGTTTGGCGGTTTTTTGGTGGGACCATCTGGCAACACTGGCTGGAATAATGATAGAAACTTCTTGGATATTGCTGGCATTTGAAAGGCCTACCTGCTGCAGGCTTTACGCAAATGCCCTTAAGGTTTGTTAACCTAATGCATTAGCATGTGCCTGATGAGGCAAGGCCGTTTAGGAAATGGCCTGGAATGCTGCTCGGATTTGTGAGGCTTCTTACGCATACGCGCTTCCTTGCGGTGAGCTTCACTATTAAGCTGAGCAAATGCCTTGGGACCTATTTTGCACTCAGTTATATGCATACTTTGATTGAAAAGGCATTGTTTTGCACGAGCTAAATGATTAGACATGGGGCAGACTCAAATTACGGGTCAACCGCAAGGCATCCCACACGTGTGCATTGGGTTCTGGCGGACAAACAACTACCGTAAACTGAGCAAAGCTTTTGGGGCATTGTTTGCACTTGTAAGGTTTTTAAGGTGATACGAGTCTTAACTTTTTTATTTTTTAATTATCTCGCTGAAATGCAGTATACTGATGTATTTCTCATTGGTGATTTTAAACATACAATTAGTTTTCAGATAGCTTTACTAGATCCTGAGTTATCAATAAATATGAAATTTTAATTAGGTCCTTCTTACGGGTCGTTAGCATCTAATTAAGGCTTTAGAACTAATTAATTATAATTATTGCATGACATAAAGCAACAGAAATAGCATCACTGCACAAAGCATGTCTTGGTAAATGCAATTCTATAAGCAGTCGACATAATCTAAAAGATTTTATGCTAACGACCCGTAATGAGGGCCTAATCAAAATTACAAATTTAGTGATAGCTCAGGATCTACAGGTTTTCCCACTCATTTTAATCCAAGCGACGACCAATTTAATCCCGGGGTCACTCAGTTTAATCCAAGCGCCATACAATTTAATCCAAGCACGACACAATTTAATCCCAGGGTCAGTCAATTTAATCCACAATATATATACACTTATTGTGTTCAGTGGTCGTGTTTCGCTTACACATTTGGTAACTTAGAACAATTGTTTATACAATTAGAATTTTTGGCAGGCAATTGATAATCTGATCACTAATGTGATTACTTTTGAGTTACTAGTCCCACTATTGACGAGGCTTAATTGATATGTTGGTTACTCTTTTTAGAGCACAGTTCTTTGGCACCCCTTTCCGGCTTAAGCGGCGTCGGCGTCCTTCGGCGTAACCACGCGGTGCAGGATGGGTAAATTTCCCAGCTAAATTTAGCGCAAAATTTTCCCCGCTACATTTAGCAGAAAATTTACTCCACCAAATTTAGCGCAAATTTTAGAGCGCAACTCTTAGGCACCTGTTTCCAGCTTGAGCGGCGTCAGCGTAATTAAGGTCACCCCACGGTCACGTGGCCCCCTCCCCAAGGTGACGTGACCCCCTCCTCCCCCCGACGTCACGTGACCCCCTCCCCTCGAGGTTAGGTGACCCCCCCAGAGCATATTAAAGAATGAGGGGAGGAGGAGGAGAAGGAGGAGGGGTCTACACTTCCATCAGTACCCTTCCCTCCTCCTCCTTGTACGAAGCAGCATGCATCAGCCAGAATGGCGATTCGGAATGCCCGCATTTTATTCCCTCGTGCCCCCGTGTCCGTCGTGTTTTTCTCTTCTTCCAGTGGTGCCATCGTTGGCTAGCTGCTACATCTCCTTTTAAAAAAAAAAATGAGTTTAGAGATCTGTGTAAGCCTAAATATTGCGGTCATGTCCATATCTTTGTGGTGGCCTTCTATCCCTTGTCCCTCTTCGAAGCAGCGGGTGCGGCTCAGACTCAACTTGGCCCTCGTTTACTGGCTCTGTAGCCTCGGAGGTCGTCTTTTGGAAGGATTGCGCCACTGGTCTTAAGTGTTCGCGTGTCCTCCGAAGCACTTGGCCTTCCGGGGTCTGATGTGGAATGGCCCACTACTATGGCAGGTGACTACGTATGCTTGAGGATGTGGTAGACGGTAGTTTGAGAACCTGTTTCAATATCTGCTAGTGCTCGAGAGGACTTGTCATAGCTAGCCTTCTGCTGTTGCCTTATTTTTGTAAGGCGTTGTATGACGGCTTTGGGCGGCATGATAACAGGTAGGTAATGTTCAAGCCTGGTGGGCAACAGCGTTCTTGTATGCCGGCTCATCAGTCTTTGTACAGGCGATTGGAGGACCTCGTCTTGTGGAGTGTTGCACCATTCAAGAAGTGCATAGTAAAACTCTTCCGTGTTCGCTCTTTTTCTCAGCAATTGTTTCGCCTGCCTCACGGCTCGTTCGGTTATGCCATTTGATCGGGCATGGTAAGGGCTTGAAGTTACTTGCTTGATCTTCAAGTTTTTCAGGAACTGTTTGAAGTCGTGGCTCCAAAACGGCGGGATAGAATGGCGATTCGGAATGCCTGCTTTTTATTCCCTCGTGCCCCCGTCTCTTTTTCTTCTTCCAGTGGTGCCATCGTTGACTAGCTGCTACACTCTGAAGAGCTGCGCTCCAATTCGGCGTTACAGGGAGTTGTAAACGGCTTTCACTTTTTTCCCGCTAAATCTAGCGGAAAATTTCCCCCGTTGAATTTAGCGGGAATATTTGCTCGCTAAGTTTAGCGAAAAATTTTCCCCGTTAAGTCTAGCGAAAAATTTTCCCCGCTAAATCTAGTGGAAACGTTTCCCGGCTAAATTTCGCGGAAAATGTTTCCCACTAGATCAAGCAGAAAATTTTTCCCGCTATATTTAATGGAGAAAATTTTCCCCTAGATTTAGCGAAAAAATTTTTCGTTTAGTGGGAAAATTTTTCCCGCTAAATTTAGCAAGGAAATTTTGCCGCTAAATAAAGCAGGAAAAAATCCGCTAGATCTAGCGGGGAAAATTTTCCGCTATATTTAACAAGCAAAATTTGCCGCTATATTTAGCGGAAAAAATTATCCGCTAAACGGGGAAAATTTTTCGCTAGATTTGGTGGGGAAAATTTTTTGCTAAATTTAGAGGGGAAATTTTTCCGCTAAATATAGCGGGGAAAATTTTCTGTTAGACTTAGCGGGGAAATTTGTCCGCTGAATATAGCGGGAAAAGTTTTCCGCTAGATCTAGCAAAGAAAATTTTCCGCTAAATTTGCGGGAAAAATTTTCCGCTATATTTGGTGGGGAAAACTTTCCGACAGATTTAGCGGGGGAATTTTTCCGCTAAAATTAGCCCGGGAATTTACCCATCATGAACCACGTGGTTACGCCGACGGCGACGCTACTCAAGCCGGAAAGGGGTGCCTAAGCTAAGAGCTGCACTTTAAAAAGAGTAACCAACATATCAATTAAGCCTCGTCCATAGTGGGACTAGTAACTCAAAGTAATCACATTAGTGATAAATTATCAATTGCCTGCCAAAAATTCTAATTGTATAAACAATTCTTCTTAGTTACCAAATGTGTAAGCAAAACACGACCACTGAATACAATAAGTGCATATATATATGTTGTGGATTAAAATGACCGACCCCGGGGTTAAATTGTGTGGCACTTGGAATAAATTGTATGGCGCTTAGATTAAATTGAGTGACCCTGAAATTAAATTGGTTGTCGCTTGGAATAAATTGAGCGGGAAAACCTGCAGTAAAGCTATCTGAAAACTAATTGTGTATTTGAAATCACCATTGAGAAATACATCAGTATCCTAAATTTCGGCACAATACATGAAAAATTTAGAAAAAGTTAAAGACCCTCGTTTCCCCTTAAACAGTTTTCAATAATAGTGGATCAGACTAGTATTATGAGAGAAGGCTTTAAGGGCACTGCTTGCACTTAAATGACTTTTCACCTGTATGCGTTCGATTATGGTTTTGTAGAGAGGAATTTTGAGCAAAGGCTAAGGGGCACTACTTGCACTTAAATGGCTTTTCCCCAGTGTGTGTTCGATTATGATTTTTAAGAGCAGTATCTTGAACAAAGGCTCGGGGGCACTGCTTGCACTTAAATGGCTTTTCACCAGTGTGCGTTCGATTATGGCTTTGAAGATGGGAATTTTGAGCAAAGGCTTGGGGGCACTGCTTGCACTTAAATGGCTTTTCACCAGTGTGCGTTCGATTATGGCTTTGAAGATGGGAATTTCGAGCAAAGGCTTGGGGGCACTGCTTGCACTTAAATGGCTTTTCACCTGTGTGTGTTCGATTATGTCTTTGCAAAGTAAAATTTTGAGCAAAGGCTTGGGGGCACTGCTTGCACTTGAATGGCTTTTCACCAGTGTGTGTTCGATTATGATATCTCAGAGTGGAACTTTGAGCAAAGGCTTTGGGGCACTGCTTGCACTCATATGGCTTTTCACCTGTGTGTGCTCTATTGTGGTAAGTCAGACTGCTACTGCTAGCAAAGGCTAAGGGGCACTGCTTGCACTTAAATGGCTTTTCACCAGTGTGTGTTCGATTATGATTTATCAGAGCACATTTATCAGTAAAGGCTCGGGGGCACTGCTTGCACTTATATGGTTTTTCAACAGCGTGTGTTCGATTATGTTTTCGCAGAAAATAATTTTGAGTGAAAGCTTGGGGACACTGCTTGCACTTGAATGGCTTTTCACCAGTGTGTGTTCGATTATGATATATCAGAGCGGAACTTTCAGCAAAGGCTTTGGGGCACTGCTTGCACTTAAATGACTTTTCACCTGTATGCGTTCGATTATGGTTTTGTAGAGAGGAATTTTGAGCAAAGGCTAAGGGGCACTGCTTGCACTTAAATGGCTTTTCCCCAGTGTGTGTTCGATTATGATTTTTAAGAGCAGTATCTTGAACAAAGGCTCGGGGGCACTGCTTGCACTTAAATGGCTTTTCACCAGTGTGCGTTCGATTATGGCTTTGAAGATGGGAATTTTGAGCAAAGGCTTGGGGGCACTGCTTGCACTTAAATGGCTTTTCACCAGTGTGCGTTCGATTATGACTTTGAAGATGGGAATTTTGAGCAAAGGCTTGGGGGCACTGCTTGCACTTAAATGGCTTTTCACCTGTGTGTGTTCGATTATGTCTTTGCAAAGTAGAATTTTGAGCAAAGGCTTGGGGGCACTGCTTGCACTTGAATGGCTTTTCACCAGTGTGTGTTCGATTATGATATCTCAGAGTGGAACTTTGAGCAAAGGCTTTGGGGCACTGCTTGCACTTATATGGCTTTTCACCTGTGTGGGCTCTATTGTGGTAAGTCAGACTGCTACTGCTAGCAAAGGCTAAGGGGCACTGCTTGCACTTAAATGGCTTTTCGCCAGTGTGTGTTCGATTATGATTTATCAGAGCACAATTATCAGTAAAGGCTCGGGGGCACTGCTTGCACTTAAATGGTTTTTCAACAGCGTGTGTTCGATTATGTTTTCGCAGAAAAGAATTTTGAGTGAAAGTTTGGGGACACTGCTTGCACTTGAATGGCTTTTCACCAGTGTGTGTTCGATTATGATATATCAGAGCGGAACTTTCAGCAAAGGCTTTGGGGCACCGCTTGCACTTATGTGGCTTTTCACCTGTGTGCATACGATTGTGGTGGGTCAGCCTGCTACTCGCAGCAAAGGCTTTGGAGCACCACTTGCACTTATATGGCTTTTCAGCGGTGTGCATTCGATTATGCCTTCGCAGATAAGAATATTGAGCAAAGGCTCGGGGGCACTGCTTGCACTTAAATGGCTTTTCACCAGTGTGTAGTTGATTATGACGACGCAGATGGGAATTTTCAACAAAAGTTTGGGGGCATTGCAAGCACTTAAATGGCTTTTCACCAGTGTGCAAATAATTATGGTAGGTCAGAAGGGAATTACGAGCAAACTCTTTGGGGCAAAGCTTGCACTTAAATGGCTTTTCACCTGTGTGTGTTCGGTTGTGGTAGATCAGATTTCTACGCTGAACAAAGGCTTTGGGGCATTTCATGCACTTAAAAGGCTTTTCACCTGTGTGTGTTCGATTATGTCTTCGCAGAGAAGAATTTTTAGCAAAGGCTTTGGTGCACTTCATGCATCTAAATGGCTTTTCAACAGTGTGCAAATGATTATGTACGGTCAGGAGGGAATTACAAGCAAACTCTTTGGGACAAAGCTTGCACTTAAATGGCTTTTCACCTGTGTGTGTTTGATTGTGGTACATCAGACTTTTCTTCCAAGTGAAGGCTTTGGGGCATTGCATGCACTTAAATTGTTTTTCACCAGCATGTGTTCGATTATGACAGGTCAGAAGGGAATTATAAGCAAACTCTTGGGAGCAAAGCTTGCACTTAAATGGCTTTTCACTCTTGTGGTTCTGAGTGTTGCCGAGCACTTGGGAGGAGCCAGACATGGGAGGATGCTGGCACTTGAATTGTTCATCACCATGGGCAGCCAGGTGGCTCAAAATTGCATGCTGATCTCTGGTGACATAGGTGCAGGAACAGCATCCGAACCAGATGTCTTCGGTGACTTTCAGGGGGCAGCTGGTTTCCCCTAACCATCTGGCTCCATCACCTACAAGAAAATACCATATGTATTGACACACAAGGAAAGCCCAACCAAGATCCAGATGCAGCTGTCCTGTTTAATAATTTGCTGCAATTTGGAATTCGATTCACAGAAGCACTCATTTGCAACTGGCACCATTAAGTGGAGTCTCCAGTCTTTCAAGGAGAACCGGCACAATGAGGCCCCTCACGTCGCTCACGAAAGTCCACTGTGCGTCCACTTCGACCTCACACCGTTTTGAAGAATTTGAGATCGCTGAAAGAGCCCAACGAACTTCAAACTCGAAAGTGAAGTGCTGTCTGCTTAAAGCGATGGGCGGCAGACGCAGGCACGGAAAAGAGTGTTTGATCACGGAATGCGGGCGACACGACACTTCAGGTCGGGATGATTCGGAGGCGCGTCAAAAGCTCGAGTTGCAGGACGACTCCATCTTTGATGCCACTGCACTGCTGCGGGTCACGCAGAAGCTTTAAACTCGGCTTCGGGAAATTGTTTTTTTACTTAACAAATACTGTAAACGATGTATTTTTCGCGGGCTTAATATTTCCCTATTTAGGTCAAAGCTGAAGTTTTGGAACAATTCGTGGGTTTTAATTTTCGCAAAGCAGTGGGATCTCAATCTAGATTCCAATGTGTTTACATTTTACCGGAATTGTTCGCAGGACTTATTTTTTGCGAATTGTAGACGATTAGAGAATTTAGCAAAAATTAGGTTCTCGTGAAAATTAAGCCTTTTCAGTACTTAGTTCCGAACTTCTGAATCTGGAGGGTAATCTCCAGGCATCGGTTTTAAAGGGCCCATGAAACGAAATTTAGGCGCCAGGATAAATAAATTTAAAGTGGGATTTTACTAATAGCATATCGTTTAGTGGACCAAAATAAAAAAGGTAGAAAGTCAAAAGCCTGACATTTAGTACGAAAATCTGAAAATACAGAAGACTATTCTGTACCTCCTTCCCCTCGAAAGCTCTGCTTTTTCAATGCGAAACATCTACAGTACCCAAACTATTCACCCGCCCTAAACGCACGTCACGCCTCGACACTGGACCTCACTTATCCTCTTCACCTTTAAGCTAACAGTGCAGTGGAAGCTGTGCGCTTGCCGGACCAATCAGCTGCCTCCCTTGCATCAGGTGACCTCGTTCTCAGGTGGGTATGCGCGAGGGCGCGTGATCAAGTGGCAAAAGTGTGGCTGGCCGAACGAGCACGTAGCTTCCACAGCACTGTCTGCTTCGGGGTGAATGGATTGCGGAAAGCAACTTTTGTTCCAAGTTCTAAGCGACAGGCTAATCTTCTAGGAGGAGAATGGTGGTGTCCGGGTACACAAACGAGAATCCCAGCAAGAGGGGTTTCCCTTCTTTCCGTCTTCTTGAACTGTTTGGTACAATGCGCGATTTCTGAGTTAAGGAGAAAAGTTAATGGAGGAAAAAGTTGAAAAATTGCTTCAAGTAATTTTAGATTAAAAACAATATTTTTGACCTGTCAGTGCCCCTTTAAGGAGAAAGATACAGGGCAGCAAAAGACACATAGAAGGCTAGATTTGGAGATGCAGATAAAATATGCCCTACATGTAAAGAGGGGGGAAACATTCGAACTTGCGATTCTAAAATGTAAGAAGCTTAGTGCTGCCCTTCCCTAAGGGGCGACAGACATGCCGGGTGCCTCGAGTTTCACTGCAGAAGATGGAAGTGTGGATTACAGTGAAGTAGATGCAATAATTAGGAGGTTAGAGTACCGGTAGAAATTATCTGAGGAAAACTGAACGAAGAACTAAGTAGCACAGATAGGGGAAAGGAGGAAGATTGAGACTCCCTCCCTCGTGTCTCTGGAGCAGGGTCTTAACCCTGTGCCCAAATGGGTCTGGTGTTGGAGCGACGCCAACTAAAGATTGGCGACTCCCTCGATGGGGAAAAGAGAAGGGGGTGCGCATTTCTTTTTTTTTTTTGCCCAATTCCTTAAAAAACACAAGCAAAGGCAAAAAAGTTAAACAGCCTGGATGGGAAAAGGAAGTCGTAAATACATAAATAAAACTAATTTAAACGAACAAGAAAAAGTTTTACATCTATATTTATGGCACGAAACAAATTTGTAGTTAGTGCCTGCGGGCACCCTCGGAAAAGTGGCCGCTATTTATCGCGTGACTGGTTGCTATTTATCACGTGTGGCTTGCACTCTTTTGGAAGCTTCCTATGGTCTCTAAAAGTTACTTGTGAATCTTCGTTTGAAGTACAGCAAAAAACAAATATTAATAATAACTTTTAGAGCCCAAAGAAAGAGCTCAGGCACCACGTGATAAACTTGCATGCCGGTCAGAAATAACGGTGGAGGCACGCCGGAGTGTTCCCTTCCGGTGGCTGCGGCAGTGGCGTGGAGACGCTTTTAACCAGCGGCACACAACGCTCAGCGCGTGTCAGCGGTGTAGCGCGGCAGCGCACAGGCATAGCCTCCTCTATACGGAGAAAGCCTAGCGCATCAACGGCAGAGCCATAGGGCGCGCAGCCGCAGAAAAAAAGGTGAGGAGGAGCGCGCGAAGCGGTGACCAATATGGTAGCACAGAGCAGAAAGGGCGGAGATAGTCTGCGAGCGCTTGGGTCATGAGCAGCCGCTCCCCGAACCACGTTTGTTTTCGTGTTTTCGTCACCGTCGTTTTCGTACTACAGGAGGAACGGCTGCGGCGATTCGAAAGGGCGCTGGTAACAATGCACCATGCCGGTGGCGTCGGCAGAGTTGTCGGTGTGCCAGCGAAGTGCGCCGTCGTCGGACCATCGTGTCGTGCCGCGGAAGAACCAAACAGTTTTGACTAAGTAGTTTAGACGCCCAGATGCCGAAGATACAAGTAACAGCGCTACAGGATGAAAGTTCGGCGTGTTCCAGCGAGCACTGCGGCCAACTGCGACGGGAAATGAAGGTGCGTGCGCGCGTCGCGAAGACGAACGCTTTCAGGCAAGAGACCTCCAGCGCAAACGAAAGCGACGACCGGGATTGTTGCGGAGATGCGGACGCAGGGATGGCAAAGGAAAAGTGTTGACGTTGAGTTTCTCTTCTCCACGATTCCAAAGAAAAGAGGAAAAAAAAAAAACAAGACTGTTTCTGCGTTTCGCCGCTCACTCTTGTGTGGCACTAGCAGACAAGCTTCCCTCCGTTCCCGATTCCCTGCCCCTCCTCTTACTTTCGGCGGCCACTTTTTTTCGCGGCGTGCCAAACTTTCTCTGTATAGAGGAAGCTATGGCACAGGTCTACCACGTGATCAGCGGCGGCTCCTGAGGGCGCCAACTACAAATTTGTTTCACATCGGAAATATAGATCTACTTTTTTTTTCTTCGTTGTAAATTTGTTTTATGACATTCTTTTTCCATCTAGGCTGTTTAAAACAAACTTTTTTTTTTTTTTCGTTTGCATTTGTCTTTCAAAGGTCATCCCAGCAGTCACCCCCCGGCCTGGTGATATTTACAGAAATGTATTGGCCAAAAGGGGCAGAATCACATATTTCTATGTTTTTAATTTCGGTGGCACAAGCTATTTATTCCCCTTTATAAAGGGTAGAGCTGTTAATATGCATCCTTCCATCCATCCAGATTTTTGACCAAACATGTATGAAACATGGTATTCTTATATACTTAAACAAAGGCAAAACTTCCTTGGCCTAAGAGTACTTCCAATCAGACTACACTTTGTGTATGTTTCAATGAGCAAGAGTCGGCAGCGCATCTCTATAGTTTTTCTTCATATAGGATCAGAAAGGGTATGTCAAAAGGA